AATAAGTGGTATGTAAATGGGAGCATGAACAATCTCAAAACAATGACCTAGGGCCTTTTACTGCTCCTAGAGAATAGAGCAAAACCATGAGGACTTCAGTGCTCATGTTTCATGCCAACTATTTTGGAGGTGTTTTCTTTTTCCCTTAATTTCCATTGTTGACCTTATGTTCCAGAAAATGGAGTCTTCCGGATATTACTGTAATGCTTGATAGTTTGTTCTCATTCCCTAACGGGGAATTGTAAATAAAATGTCACAGAGATTTTCTTTTTAGAAAGTGAACCAGGAAAGAAGTGGGCTTCTGAACCATTCCAGTTCAGGGGCCTGAGCCGTGCTGGGTTTGGCTGAGCTCCATCCCCGACCATCGCGGGGCAGGAGCTAGTCATCAAAGAAATCTGGGTTCCTGGCACACCCGGAATCAAGAAAGACCCAGCCTTCTTAGCAGTTGGAGGCCAAGATTTTTCTCATATCACCTGAAGTATTTTATCAGGTAGAATTCTTTAGTTTGTATATGATTATGCAATTTTGTAACAGTAAATGGAAATAGTATAACACTAATATGATAGTACTTTAGGCCCGCCTAGCAAAGTTAGAGGAAAAAGAACCCTAATATCTGTTACTGAAATTTTTCCTGCAAAAAATGAACATAATGCTGACTCTCCATGAAGTCAGCCCTGCATTTGATCACTTCCTAAATAGAACATTGACCTCTTTGTATCTGACTTCCTGTTTTAAGACCATGAAGTCCATGAAATTACTCTCTCTCTAGGAGTATCGTATCCTAGAACTTCACTTGCAGTTATGATTGCCATGCAATTCTATTAGCTCAATCATACAAGATCATTTTTGATTTCCAAAGTGGAAGTAACAGCATTGCTGCCCTGGAATTTCTTGGCAGTTGCACCTAACTAGCATTAAGAATTTGACCAGGGCCACTGGCATAATTTACTGTAATTTTTAAACCATGAAGTAATGTGTAAGTGATTTTTCATAATAGAACTATTAGTAAAAGAATTTTTGCATTCAGCAATTTCTGTCTCCAGAGTTTCCATAATTGAATCTCTTTACCTGGAGTGTAAATGGAGTCAGAAGTAGTTTTTATCAAGTGCCTGTATTGATATTGATGGAATGCATTATGGCATTTCCCACATCCTTTTAAGTATCTCAAATTATACAGCAATAGTATATGCTGGGTTTTTGGTTTTTGGGTTTTTTTCTAAGTAATCAACACTTGAAGAATCATGTTTCTTTTCAGTCCTGGAAGATTTTCATTCAGTCTTTTCTTCCTCTTTGTCCTCTTCCCTATCAATGATCATGCTCTTGAACGCTGATTCATTACGGCTGCTTTCTGAGCTGTCTGGGTTTGCTGCTCTACAGGTTCTCAGACAGCCGTGCTCACGGCTCTTTTCTGCCACCCCTGAGTGGACTCGTGCTGCACTGCCCTTTGGCTCAGGCAGCCAAGACAGCAGCCTTGTGCTCGTGGAGATCAACACATGTTCCTTCATGTTGCGAACGACGCCTTTCAGATACACAGGAAGCATTGCCCCTGCGTTGGGCCCTGGCTGCTGCCCAGGTGTTTCGTTGGTTATATTTAACCTTTCTGTAGGGGATAATGGTTCTCAACCTTGGCTGCTCATTGGAGTCATCTGGAGAGTTGCATAAAACACTTACTTACGCCTGGGCCTCACCCCAACAGATTCTGATGTAATGTGTCTTGGGTGTGGCCTAAACATTGGGATTTTTAAAAGCTTCCTAAGTGATCCTAAGGTGCAGTCAAGATTGAGAACCACTGGCTAGGAGTGTCTTCTGCATCCCAGACCTTTTTAAGGTCAAGTTTATTTGCTTCCTTTATGACATAACTATTAGCAGTTTGGGTAAAAGATTCATAACCGTGCAAACAGACCTCTGGACATACTTGATCAATAACCAGTTTTACTAAAATCCATTCCTAAAGCCCCAACACATTTCCCCATGTATTTATTTTCCAACTCAATGCAGACAATAACAATAACAGCTAACACTTACATGGAGCGGCTTCTGCAACAGCACTGCACGAAGTGCCCAACATACGCTAACTCACTTAAACCCCAAGTGTGGTCTGGATCTCTTCCCCAGATCTCCAGCACCATATTTTCAAGTGCCTGTGGAGTATATCCACCTGGACGCTGTCCTCTGCAGCCCAATATGTATAAAGCTTCACCCGCCCATGTCCACCAGCATCGTTTCCCACACTGCTTTTAGCATCCGATAGACCTGGCTCAAATCCCAAACCTACCATTCACTGGCATATGACTTCAGCGTCCTTAGTTACAAAGTGGTGATGATGTGTAATCATAATAATGCCTGCTTCATAGACTTGTTGTAAGGATTTCCCAAGATCCTCTACATAAAGTGAATTGTCCCTAATCCATAGCAGGCACTTAACAAATGGCAGCTACTGTGATTGTTTGAAAAACTTTATGCTACCATGAGAGCTTCCTGTTTCTCTTCCTTACTTATCTGCTGGTACTGATTCTTATTTCACACGGTAGATGTTTCTCTGAGTCACCACACTCCTGTCTAGTCCTCATCCCCTCAGGCCTCGATTGCTGAAAGGACTCCTAATTGGGTCTCTTCCCTCCAGTCTCCTTTCCTCTTTCCCACCCTTAATCCAGTCAACACACTGAAAATCATTTCTAGAGTAAAACACCCCTGGTATGTTATTCCCTTACAGGGAACCTATAAAGGCTTCCATGCCCAAACTCCTCAGCCAGATTTTTTAAAATTGCCTCTCATAATTTGGGTCCAACCTTTTGACTGATTTAATTTCCCACTTACTCCCTAGCACTCCCCTCTGCTCTTGCTTAGTGGTCTCTCCTCAGTGTCTTCTGAACATGTGTACAAGGCTTATCTCAGCTCTTCCTGCCTTGCCCCAGTGTAGACTATAGATTCTCAGTTTATATGGCCTGCTTCTACTAAAGCCTCCTCCCTAAAGTCTTTTCCATTTTGATCTCTACTACCCTCATTTACTGTTACTTTTCTATAACACTGATCTCAAATGCAGTGTCATTGAGTGGCTTTGGTGTGGTTGAGAACAGGCTTCGCCTAATGGAGCAGCAGCCCGCCCAGGGAAATGCAAGCCAGTTGTTGCAAGTGTTCCCAAATAATTTCCAAGAGAAAAATCTGGATTTTTTTTTTTACTTGAAATCTCCTAATTTTTAAAGATGGTGTGGCAAATCGAATAGATCATTAGGGCTGGAACAGCCCTGGGGCTATCGTTTTATCCCCTCTGCTCCATAGTTTGTATGCCATCTAGTTTAGGACTTAATTATTCTCTCATTGTTTGATATATTTTATTTCTGTCTTCCCAACTAAATTATCCACGCCAGCAACCCCACCTCAATCATTTTGAGCATCTGTTGCTGAACTAAATACAGTATTAGCAATGAACAATAATCACTTAATTGATTCATTCATTAAAGAACTTGACGAAAATAATCCATAACCAATCTATAAGTGAAAATTTGGGAGAGTTTATTCTGAGCTAAAATCTGAGGACCATGGCCTGGGGCCTTTCTTCACGAAGGGAGAAAGGGCACCAAAGAAGTGAGGTGTACAGAGTGGTTACATACCCCCAAACAGGATGTTTCACATATGATTGAAATGTCCTTCCCACAATAGTCACAAGATTGCCCTGTCAGCACAGCGCTTGATGGACACAGCAGGTAGTGGATCTGCTATCTCGGGGTGTAGCAGGAGGCAAGTCTATTGTCTCAAGCTGGGTGGTCACAGGTGAGCGCAGCAATCAGTTCCTAGCCTAAGGAAAGATGCTTAATCCTTAAGGAAATCCCAACGTTGGGAGGGGGAGGGAAGTTGCACCTTTATCTCAAGGGCCTTTGTTCTTGCCATAGGGAATATCTAAATCAGATATACAATGCATGCTCAACGGCCTTGATCAGGCCCTTTTGGAAAGACAAGGTCAGGCCGAATTAGGTTTACACCAAATGGCTTCCTCATATACTCCAATATATCCTGTTACTTGCCATTTTTGTTTGTCGAACTACTTAATGAGCTTCGTGGCGTGTAATGCATCAGGCTTCCCAATTCTTGTTTTCTGGTTTCTTTCATTGTGTTGTGAAATATTTAGTAGAAATATCTGATGTTTTTGTCATGGCTCTGCGTCTGATTCCCATATTCAGTATCAGTTTTGTATCCCGGCTTGTTGGTTAGTCACCTTGAGACACAAAGCCAGATTTTTCAATGGAAAGAAGAACAAACTGTGTTACTTTTACATTTTATTAATGATATTTGCCATTGAATGACATAAAACATCTACAGAGAATTACAGAACTTGTCACTTACTAAGTGCAACAAATAGCAGTATTATTTACTCTTTGTGCATCCAGGAGACGTGTGCATTCTGAAATTATATCTGAATTCTGTCTTTATATCAAAATTATTCTACCCTGCATCATGGAATGTATTAATTTTGTGTCTAAAATAATTGTTATAGTGCATATCTAAAAGAAGTTTTTGTAGGTTTTTCAGAGAGTGAAGTGTGGAAACTTACTATTCCTGCTTTATATTCCACATATTTTCACATTGTAACTTCCTCTCTAATTGCCATGATATCATCTCAGCAGCAAGCAAAGATATTCCACCCTGAACAGTTACCCTGAGACATGACTAACTCTGTTTGACTCATATTCATTTGGACTGAAAAGGAGAACATATTTGACTACACATGGGCACCATTGTAACTGTTCAATGTAACTATTCATTGTGACTGTTCAGGATTGTTATTCTCAACCAGCTGCCACAAAGGAGACGTCTCTTAAGATCCTGGTTAAGCTCTGTTGTAGCCTTCGGCCTGGGGAGGTGGGAAGTGCAGGAAGTGAAAGTATCGCCTCCTTTTATTTGTTAACTGTGGCCTCAATCCTGCCGTAATGCTTTTTGGTGACGTGATGAACATCAGGACATTGCACAAATCCACACCCTCCTCTTTTTGTGGTTTGCTGTAGGTACTCAGCGTGCCAATGCCCGGGCGCCAGCCCCTTACAAGCGAGACTTTGAAGCCAAACTAAGGAACTTTTACAGGAAGTTAGAGACTAAAGGATATGGACAAGGCCCAGGGAAATTAAAGTAAGTCAAACTGATACAAACCATGAGATTTGTAGATGGTGAAAGGATGGGATGCACTTGGGAATGTAGGAAATTTGTTGTGATTTGGGACAACCAGCCTTTGTTTTAGTCAACATAATTATTTTGGCCTGTGTAAATTACAAGATCATCTAAAAGGTAGTTCTGGAATTAAGCACAACTAAGCTTAAGGTTTTAAAACAAACAGCAAAGAGACTACCACGTCCCATGTGAAAATATAGGCAAAATCAAAAGCGGATTTATTTCATTCTCCTGAAAAGTACCTCTCTGTTGGTGTACAGTATATTCCTTAGATGGAAGGCTCTCACAGTGGGCTGGACAGCACATTACTGTTGCCTGAGCTGACCTGAGTGTAGGAACACCGCTCAGCTCTTTTTCATTCTGTGAAATAAATTTCACTTGTCCAATAGACTATGTCGTGAATGTTGTCTCTGCCTTTCTTTATCCACCTCCCATCAAATGGGGAAACTGAAACGTCGTCACGTTCTTTGGCCTAGAATTATTTTCATTTTCTACTTACCCCTACTCCTTCCATCCCGCCTCCACCCCTGTGCCATGTCCCCACTGGAGACCAACATGCCACCTGAGGGAGCACAGAGGAGGGAGATCTGCCCTGCGGCGACACCAGGACCTGGGATGCCTGAGAAAAGCACGCAGCCCAGCAGCCCCCGCCCCCATCACTGGCTCACAACCCCACACGAGGGCTTGCTCCACTGAACCCCGAGGTTCCACTCTCATCACCCTGCCCCTAACACCATCCCTCTCTGAGCTCTGCTTATGAAGGTCTTGATGATCAAGCTTGCATGCCTCTGGCCTCCCTATTGTCTCCCTTTCCATTACTGTTTGCGTTAAAGGCAAATTGATATCTGCTTAAAGAGGACTTTGTCATTATCACAAGTAGATTAGTCGGCCACAAGTATCATTCATTTTCTCTGTCACCTAGGAAATCTCAAGATTCACTTCTTTTGCAAAGTAAGTTAAGCACAGTAAACTCCTCTGCTCTGGAGGACACTGAGAATTTTCTTTTTCTCCTGTTCTCTCTAGGCACCTTGTAATTGAATTCCTTGTCTAGATGCATTCAGGCCTAAATCATTACCTCACGGGGTTGTTCTTGCTTTACTGAACCAAAGTTTTGTGTTTGTGTTGTTTTGTAACCATTTTCCTTCTGGGATGAATTCATGTGACCATTCAGAAAGGACTCTTGAGTTGCTGTTACAGGTCATAGGTGGGGTGCTCTATTTGCCAATGATTCTCTTATGTCACTTTCGTTAATGCTGTTAAGAGTTAAAGACAAATGTGCACTTGATTGCAGATAGCAATAGAGTAAGTCACTCCACTTTTTGCTTAGGTAATTATGGTAAATGGAAATCAAATGGCAAGTGCCCAGTTCTAGACAGATAAGGATTAGGAAATAATCTGTATTTTTCAAATTCTCTCTCTACGGACAGGTTAATTATCAGAAGAGATCACTTACTCGAAGATGCTTTTAATCAGATCATGGGCTACTCCAGAAAAGACTTGCAGAGAAATAAGCTGTACGTCACCTTTGTCGGGGAGGAAGGGTGAGTTGCACAGAGAAGTGGCCTGCGGAAGGCACGCGGGCTGCGGCTGCAGGCGGACGCTCCACCACAGCAGCTGTGGTTGCCTGAAACAGGAAATCCCTCTGGCAGGAAATACATTCTATACACTTAAACCTCTCAGCTTTTTTCTTTTTTTAAGGCTTCCTCTGGTTTTTAAATCATTTGACATAGAAATTCTTTGGTAAAAACCCGTAACTATAGATCATTTGTGAAAGCAGAAGCCTGGCTTGGTTTCTTCTCTCTGTAACTCTCTTCCTCTTAAGGAGAAAAAGTGGGCTTGGAGAGAAAAAACAAGGAGTTGCATTTGAACGTCTGTGAGCTTGTTATCTGCACTGGGTGTGAGCAGACAAGCTTCTCCTGTTAAGCTCAGTTTCAGAATCACGAATTCGAGTCCTGCCGTTCTACCCGGTAGCCTCAGCAGCTGGGAACTCTTGGGCCCCGGTTCTTATTTTTCTGTCCCTGGTTTTTCTCTTCCTTTGCAGCAGGAGCTCACATACCAAAATAACTACCTGCTGTAAACACACATCTCCATGTTCTCTCACTCTTCCAGGAGTGTGCTTATCTCCATAAGAGTGAGGAAGTGAAGGAGTCAAAGACGCCATGGTGTTTATCACTCCAAGTAAACGTAACAGTCTTTACATAACACTTCAAGAGATGCCAGCTCTCCTCTGTCCCAGACCCTTTCCTCTTTCCTCATTTCAGGTCTGAGTTTCAAGTCTCAGCACCTTCTTCGTAACCTAGCCATCACCATCACCAGAGTGACTTTAAAAAATACCACACAGTTGCGTAAACTCTGGTTGTCTTCTCTGTTGATTTGGAAGATTTTAAGACCACCCCCGTCTTGGGCTGGCCCCAGTGGCGCAGCGGTTAAGTGCGCACGTTCCGCTTCAGCGGCCAAGGGTTCGCGGATTCAAATCCTGGGTGCGGACATGGCACCGCTTGACAAGCCATGCTGTGGCAGGCGTCCCATATATAAAGTAGAAGAAGATGGGCACGGATGTTAGCTCAGGGCCAGTCTTCCTCAGCAAAAAGAGGAGGATTGGCGGAAGTTAGTTCAGGGCTAATCTTCCTCAAAAAAAAAAGACCACCTCTCAGTCCTGCCCAAGAATAAAGTGCATTAAATTATGGAATCATAGTAGTATATCCAACAAAGTCAACCATGTGGTATATGGTTGCTGAAATGAAGGCTCCAAAACATAAAATAACTTGCATGTGCTAACAGAACTAGATAATAGCAAAATCAGGATTCAAAACTAGGCCTTTCATCTTTCCTCCAGGACGCTTGGACCAACACTGGGATGTAGGCAGAACTCTGAACTCTAGTCTATGCAAATTTCTTTCCTACCCGTGGATTTTTTACTATAGTAACTGGTGATTGATAACTTCTGCTCTTGTCACGTATACTGTGGTACAGTCTCCCAGCTGTGACTAAAGTAAAACAGTATATGGGAAAACAAGACAATGTGGCAAAGTTTAAGCAAAAGCTTGCCTGAGACTTGAGCCTTTTGTTGCCCTGCGTTAATGGACTTCCAGCTCATGTTAGTTGGCTTAAAGATGGAGGTGCACAGTTGAAAATGAAGGCAAATATTTTTAGCCTAATCACAGGTATGAATGGGATTCCAAATATTTCCTTACATAACCATTCTGGTTTGGATGAGAATACGTTTTCTCCCCCACAACTCCAGCTGCCTTCCCTCTTTGTCGGACCCTGGTTTGTTGAGATCTCAGAGATGTGGAGAAGAGTCTTTGGAAGCCCTGGCACTTAAGTTTGAGTAGAACAGATGCTTATCATGCTTGATCCTCCTAAGCAGTTGCCCTGTGATCTGGACTGATGACATCGTTCCTAGGAGGAGGCCCAGGCTGACTGGGGCTTGATGCCCCTGCATGTGATTGCCACTAATATCCAAATGCTTCCTGCTTTCATCACCTGTCTCCTTCCTGTAACCCCAGAGGGAAAACAAGAGGGAGGATATTTTGAGGTGTGACCTCAGCCATTAGGAACAATCTCGTAATCAGGCCCTTCTGCATATGGCTTGTTGAAGCTGGAGTAGGGCCAGATAATTTCTGCTCTCATGGCTTTATCATGTCAATATCATAATACAGATTATTAGATATAGACTTTATTTTGCTATTAAGGCTTTGAAAATACATATACTGTTTTGAAAGATTAAAACAGTCTACTCTTGCTGAAAAAATAGAAACCTCAAAATAATATAAAATTAAGAAGTTATTTTAGCCTTTGCCACTTGACATTCTCAAACACATTGACTCTATCACATTAAAATAAAAGATCATAGCATTTCTTTCTGGATTATAATAAATACCCAAAATGAAAAGCTACCTAATTTTTCTATTGAACTATAAAAATGGAGCTGGAAGTTTTCTGTCACTTTCCCTTCGTTAATTTTAATGCCCTCAAAATGTATCATTTTGTAAGTTCTTCATGTCTAGCTCTAGTAATAAGTGTTTAAAAACATATCCACGTAGTGCCCATGTCTTGGTTTCTATATCATTCTTCAATCAAAGGAACTAAGGCTCCTTGGAGAAATGGCTGACTCTAGGACTGGGGCAGGAAGTACACAAGAGCAAGCCTGAAGCATCTTGCAGTGGCAGAAAGGAAGAAGTGCTCAAAAAGCCTGCAGTGATGGGAGTATGTCACAGGGACACGAGAACCTACTGGAAGAGCTCCCAATGGCCCAAGCTAGAATAATTCAAACACAAAAATAAAGTAGTATTGGATTATAACCCAAAATGTAAAATAAATATATATACTGATCTAAATATGTGATCATGTAAATAAGTAAATGGAGGAGAATAGACAAACCTTCTGTGCGGAAGATTTCAAAGAATTCGGCATAATTCCTCACTCCTTAATTGCGGATTGCACACAGTGACTTTCTTCCAAGTAGTGCAATATGGAAACGGGGAAAAAGAAGTAAGTGTACAGTGGAGAAGCCTGACAAACACTCCACAGGTTGATCAAGGTTAAAACCAACAGTGATGTATCTCGTTGATATGACATGATGAGAATGGCACTTTACTTCTGGGGTCTTCCTCCCAAAATCCCATAACACCAGTCTAAGCATGAGAAAAACATCAGATGAATCCATATTGAGGGACATTCTCAAGATACCTTACTAGTTCTCCTTAAAATTGTCAAGGTCATCAAAAACCAGAAGAATCTGAGAAATTGTCACAGCCAAGAGGAGCCTATGAAAACATAACAAAGAACTGTAATTTGGTGTCCTGGATGGGATCCTGGCACAGAAAAGGGACATTAGGTAAAAACTAAGGCAATCTGAATAAAGTATGGGTTTTAGTTAATAATAATGTGTCAATATTGGTTCATTAATTATAATAAATGTACTATACTAATGTAAGATGTTAATAAGAAGAAAACTGGGTGTGAGGTATACAAGAATTCTCCCTACCATCCTTGCAACTTCTCGGTAAATCAAAAACTATTCTAAAATAAAACATTTATTAAAAGAAAGCCTATAGTCAGGATTTGGGGAGATTGAGGAAATGTTTCCCTGAACGACTTTATTTCCTTATTGTCTGATGAGTGACTGCCACCAGGGTACTTGTTGGTAAATGTATACTTTCTTCTGCACTTTGTCAGTAGAGTAATAAGTATATAGATACAGTTAATTCTGTGAAAGTCCAAATTAGTAGGGGTATTGGGACAGTCAGGTGTTGCTTAACGACAGGTATACGTTCTGAGAAATGCTTCCTTAGGTAATTTCATCGTCGTGCGAATATTATAGAGTGTACTTACACAAACCTAGATGGTATAACCTACCACATGGCTAGGTTTTATGGCACTAATCTTATGGGACCACTGTCATATATGTGGTCCATCACTGAGCAAAACATTGTTATGCAGCACATGACTGTATATATAGAATATTATTTTGTGTTGCTAATGTCAACTTTATATTATCTATGGGGGAATGATACTTTGCAATTCTTATTGATGCCATCTTGCTGATTATATTTTCTGCCTGTGATAATCAGGGTCTTTATTTACAAGAGATTAACTAGGGCATAAAGAGAAAGGGATTTATTTTTAAGAATACCACGTCTGCCTGTACTCCAAAAAGTTGTGGATTAGCAGATTCGCAGAGGGACTTCAGCTCTGCTTTAAGCTGTTTGGTTGCATAGGTCTGAAACGTGATGTATAGATTGTTCCTCAAATGGAAGATGAGGAACAATCTATACATCATGGAAGAGCTGAGTCAAGGAAAAGGATGGGAAAATTTATAGTCAGAAATTTACAGGATGACTACAAATTCTATGTGAGGTAGAATTAATCCCAGAATATTTATCTTTAATTCAAAAATACAAAAATAATTCTAGAGCCTGTTAACACAAATATGCTAGTTGACAATTAGCTGACTGTTGTCTTTCACTAAAATAATGCTTCATATTATGCTTGGCTTGTTACAAAAAGTAGACAGTTTCTAAGCAAACCACTGTGATTTAATTTGGTCAGAGCTGGAGGTTTTGTTCTAGTCATTAAAATTTCCACCCAACTTAAGTGGGTTATCTGCTCTTGCAAAGTGAAGGAGGAGGGGAGGTCAGCAGTGGTGGAAGGGCTGGAAACTGAGTCATCGTGACTGAATGTGGTGGGAAATTTTGTGCTGCGGTTGCCTCTTTCTGTTGGGCTTCAGTTGGCCTAGAAGTTGCTTCTTTAGGAAGGGGGCCAGAGGAGCACCACATATTCTCTAGCATCTTACTGTCTTCTGAATTAAAAGTCCTAGCAGCTAGAGCTTATGTGGTGTCCGAAGTTAGCTAGGGAGACTTTTGTGTTCTGATAAGGCATCCTGGGTGTTCACTTCTTAGTACCCCAAACAGTAAGGAAATAATGCCTGGATAAAGAAAGGATGTTTACACTGTGATTGCCTCGCCTCTTCTCTTCTCCAGGGCCAACTCTGTAAAAGGCACCTTTCTTTAAGAAGAATGAGTCATTCTATGAAAGG